GTGGTACCGGAAAGACCACGTTCGTCAAGGTGAGCTTACAACGCAAGGTCTTTATGATCGTACGCTGATCTCGCTCCATCGCATAGCGCCACTTGACTGGCGAATTCGAAAAGAAATACATCGGTACGTCTCTCAATATTTTCTGCTGCTTTCCACACGCCCCACACCGTTTCATGGTTTTTTGACATGGTCTGACCTTGTGACCTCAGCCACCCTTGGTGTTGAAGTTCATCCTCTCACATTCACCACCAACTTTGGCACCATCTGCTTCAACGTTTGGGACACGGCTGGACAGGAGAAGTTCGGTGGACTCCGCGATGGGTACTACATCCAGGGCCAATGCGGTATCATCATGTTCGACGTGACATCGAGAATCACTTACAAGAACGTGCCCAACTGGCATCGCGATCTCGAGCGTGTTTGCGAAAACATTCCTATTGTTCTCTGCGGAAATAAGGTCGATGTCAAGGTAGGTTTCTATGTCTACCTGTATTAAGCTAGATATTCAGCGCGTCCCATCTGTTATAGGAACGCAAAGTCAAGACGGGTGCTGTCACATTCCATCGGAAGAAGAACCTTCAGTACTTTGAGATCTCCGCCAAGTCCAACTATAATTTCGAGAAACCGTTCCTCTGGCTGGCGAGGAAGCTCGTTGGGTATGTTCATAGTGGCATTGCAATCCAAGTTCCTTACCAACGACATTGCACAGAAACCCTACTCTGGAATTTGTCGCTGCCCCTGCCCTTGCCCCTGCAGAGGTCGCCGTTGACGCTAACTTGATGGCCATTTACGAAGCCGAGTTGAAAAAGGTACGATTGACTCCTCCCGTTTGCATGTGATACTTTATCATCAACAATTTGCTCTTGTATAGGCTGAGGCCGTCCCCCTTCCTGAAGAAGATGACGACCTTTGATCTTCTTTTGACCACTTTTTTCTTTCCCACTATTATGCTGTGACGATATTTTGATCATTACAACCGGCATCCACAACGAACACCATTTACGCCTCTTATAACCATTTTACTCCTTTACCTTACTTCCTCAGCGGATTCCACAGTAGAAGTACTGGTACATCGGTATTCCAAACTGAGTGCTTGTATAGAATACACTTTGGTGGGTCATTGATCGTGCGTGTGATGCGAAAACTCGTGTCAGTTCAATATGACGCAATATCATATAACGATAAGATCAATATGATACGTATGATTTATCCTGGACACGGGAACGTTAGGTTATAGAGACACAACTTCTAAACTCATTAACCAGCACTGTTCTGTCAGGAAAGGATAAGGGTTACAGTAACCACTCCAGAATGTCAAAAGTTCGGCAGTAAAATCGGTGTAATCATGATGGGTTACGGGCATTTTGGTGATCTCAAGTCGAAACCTGGTTTGCCAATGTGGCAATTTCCTTAGTGAGGCATATCTCGTCTTACTCAGTAGCGTCACGAAGAATTTATTCAGATTTCCTAGCTCTTGGTGGTGTGGATCGGAGTTTGTGGGCCTTCTGCTTACATATGATATTCATAGATTGTTCCCGTTGTACTACGATGTTTGCAAGGATACTTGGACAAGTTCGAGATGCAGGTCAATAGCGTACTGAAAGCAGCAACGGATATTGATACCTTAGCTGAAACACATTCATAGAATAACTAAAGAATCCTCAAAGTCAGATACAACTAATTGACTTCAAACGCTCCTCAAGTACGGAAAAAGAGTACTCAGAGGTCCCTTTTCAAAGGGGAACATCCCAGTACATCCTAGACAAATTCCTTGTGAGTGGCACTCCCAATGACACTGATCCAAGCGCCACAAGGTGACAGATAAGCATGACCTGCGCATGCCATAAGCAGGGTTTTTCACTCAGCCAAACATTACATAGCCTGTATGACGGATGATACATGCACAGATCTACTTAACCTTCAGCAAAAGCGGTCACTGAAACGACGATGGCATGTCAGACTCATGGTGCATATCTCGAGATATCATATATACCTCTTGAGTTTGGATCTACGGTCCAGCAAAGCCTCTGCTAATCGGCCTTCCTTGCGAGCTTTTTTTAGCTGCGACGTTGTTAGTCAAGGTAATCTGTTTAGGATTATGCGGGAAATAATACCTCTGTCTTTTCTTCTGTTGAAACAACGAGACGACCAGCACCCCACGTCTGATACAACCGACTTGATAGCGCGTCAGGAGTAAGAAAATATGAACCCTTTGTCGCTTACTTCGATGACTCTTCATTGATCTTCGGTTTCTCTGAAACTCCTTCTTTCTTCTTCTCTTCCTCGTGAGCTTCCTTCTTATACTTGCTCTGGATTTTGACCCAAAATCTTTCTCTGAAGCCCACTTCGTCACTGTCGCCCCTCAGCTGCAGATTTCCACCAGCAATTTCATCAACGCTGAGATACTTTTCGTACACATTCATGAAAGCGACCATTCCATCAGGAAGAACGACAGGAGTCCACTCTTCTTGAGGGCCTCGTGCATCACGATCGGCAGAGACGATGCCGTGAGTATCGCAGGAGAGGAACTTTCCCTCCCCAGTACCTGTGCGGAGATTGACCGTAGATGAGCCAGCGACACGAGTCGTAACCCATACTTGCGACACATCGGTGGGTGTTCGATCCAGTAAGTTCGGAGGCTCTATGTCGTCTTCAAGTTGCTCCTTGTCAAAAGCATGGATCACGATGCGATTTGTCGTAGAATTGAAATTAAGAGAGATGGGATAAGGATCAGAAGGATGCATAATGAATGTCGGTCCACGTATTTCACTGGGATTTTCTGGTAGCAGCCAAGTTTCTGGATCTTCATTGTCGTCCTTTCGTCGACTTTTCTTGGATGAGCCGGTCTCTCTATCCTCTCTCTTTCGCTTCTTCTTTGGTTGGTCGCCTTTAAAAGTGAGCTTTGTGGAGCGAACTTTGTCGAGCATGACTGGCAGAGAGTGACAACATGAGATTATTAACTTATCACGTGATGGAGAGCCAGTCCGTGGGAACTTAGTTGTTGAATGGTCGTGCTTCGAGTGTTTCCTCATCGTGCCCGCCGTCCTCAAGAAACCCGCCAAAATGAAATTTAACGCCGGTGCGTTTGGGTCGTTCAGACATTCCGTATCTTTCAGCTGCTGTTTCTCTGGCTGAAAAAGGATGAATTTGGGATGGATGGCTAATTTCACCTTTGGATGGACTTGCCAAGTCAGCAGATACTGATGATCTCTTCAGACGTCTCATCCTCCCGGCGCAAGTCCCGCAAAGCGCACTTCTCTGCGCCGTCCTCCATTCGGAGGAAAATTATGTCCTCCTCTCTTTCGAAGGAGCTCCGTGAAAAATACCACGTATGTCGTTGAATTTGGAGAAGCCATTTCGTGACGCGACTGTTTCCGCCTTAGGCCCGTTCGCTACCTGTTCGCAAAGATGACGAAGTCCGCATCGTCCGGGGCAAGTACAAAGGACGTGAAGGAAAGGTCACACAGGTGTATCGCAAGAAGTGGGTCATTCACGTTGATCGCGTTCAACGGGACAAATCGAATGGCAATACGGCCCTCATCGGCATTCACCCCAGCAACGTGGTCATTACGACGATCAAGTTGGACAAGGATCGGTATGTCAAGTTCTCTTCGTACAGTCGCATCATTACATGAGGTTGTTAAACAGTCGGGCGATCCTGGATAGAAAGGACACCAAGAAGTCGAAGGAGGCTTCGGGTGATGTTGAAATGGCCGACGTGCGTTGCTTTCATCTGCAGCAACGTTTTTCTCATTTGTCCTCTAGTGATATGTTGAGTTGTCTTTCTTCTCTGGGTTACCGACTAGTCAAAATCAAGCCCCATGTATCTATGCTACTGCACATGATATGTTATGACGCATTTTGTTGCTTGAAGCTAGTTCGAGGTACACCGTGATCTTCGAAAGTCATTAATTGTCCATGAAAGCGAAGTAGGTATCACAATCGATGCATAGTAGTGTAATATAATCACTAGAGCACCGAGTTAGAATATCACGTCTTCGTCCTTGCTGCTTAATAAGTCGGCGGGATGCTCTTCATCATAGTCAGAGATGGTTTGCATTGTTGGCTCGCTTTCCGAAGAAGCTGCATTTCTTGCCACTGTATCTCGTTTCTTTTTCCCTTGCACTTTCTTCAGTCTTTGAGAAGTCAATGTTTTAGAAACTTTGAAAGCAATGGCAAGATAGAACTCACCTAAAGAATTCTTCTCGATCCATTTCGTCCAGTTCACTCATGATGTATTTAATAGTATTCTCGAGACGTGGGATAACGATGTGCTCAATTGCATTGACTCGTCGATTCGTTGCTCGAATGACTTCATCGAGGATTGTGAAAGCTGTTTGCAGCGATGCGAGTTCAACCAGAGTCTCGATTGCCTTAGCGTAGACCTCTTTCGCCTTCAACACTTGCTGGCCGCCTCGACCCAAGCCAGTGAGATTAAAATCTATGAGAAATTGAGCAGTCAGATAAGAAACAAGCGAGCAATGCAAAATCCGTAAGACCTGATCCAGCGGTGCGGTCGACCTCAAAAGCCGGCAGGATGACACCGGAGACGTTCTCCTGCTTTGCTTTCACCCTGAAAGAAGCCTGCTTTGCCTGCTCCTGGACGAGATATGCAATATCTCCAGTCGCATATGTGACCTCTGCCATCGAGAACGACGCCAGTTGCATCACTCTTCCCATCTTTCGCTTCGCCTAACGATTCATTAGTTCGAGCCAATCTAAGTGCTGACTTCTTCTGCACCTCATCAACCTTCCTCAGAATCGCCCGGAATCGTGTGGTCAGCGCATCTCGTTTCTTGGCCAGAAGTGAGTGTCCAGTCTGGGCTCCTTTGAGTCGAAGCTTTGTATTTGTGAGAGCCATGCGCGTGGCAAATACATTTTCACGCGCTCCGGTTCCAGACATAGTAGATGGTATGAATACTAGTTGAAGGGAGAGAAGGACAAAGAAGCTATTCCACAATTGGTTCGCACGATAGAAATCTTGAATGGCTTCCAGTGAAGGGGGTATAGCTCAGCTGGGAGAGCAGCAGACTGAAGTTTGATTTCTGAAGGTCCCGCGTTCGATCCGCGGTACCCCCATCTTTTATTTATACAATAATAGTTTTTCGTTGTCTCGGTGCCAGGAAAGGAGTCTCCTTTCTCGATGCAAATTAAGTGTGTGTTGTGTAATTGATAGGATAGGATCTTCCTCTCATGTCGTAGTTATATCAAGGCTCCATTCTACGAGAAAAACAATCTCACTCTTCAAGTTTGAGGGCAAACCTTTTCGCGGTGCGGCACCTCTAAACCGTTCGAAATCTTCCATGATGATGACACAGATGTCCTGGCTTCAAATCATACTCTCTGGATAATGGTCGCACTGTTTACTCGCCTTTTAGCTCCGGACAATCACACTAGAATCCTTTTCTCATGAATAATTTCACATTTTACACTATGTACCTGGAAGCTATGGAGAATTATTGGAACTTATTTATGAACTCTTTGAAGCGAGTAGTGCTTGAAATATCTCATTTTTGGAACAAATGCAAGCTTCTAAACATGGTACCTGTCGACACCAGAGTCATTCTCCTAGAAACCATGGATGCACAAGAAGTGTGGAAAAGCTCATTTGTCAGGCTTTCTAGGACAGAAAAAGAACTTTTAAAAGTTACGCGGAAGACAGCACTAAGCGATCGTATACTTCCCGTAATCCTTCTCTGGATCGTAAACCTACAGTAACATTGGTCAATCGGGAAAAAAAATTGAAGACCTCCAACGAACCTCCCATCTGGATGCAGGGAAGATATGCTTATTCCTCTGGTAATAACTCCTTTCGACGACCTTTCCTGCATGCGATTCATTCTTCTCCTTTGTTGCATCTGCGAGGAGACGTATATCGTCGTGTACATCGAAATTGAACAATGGACCTGATTTCCCTCGAGCCTTATTGATTATAAAATCGTAGAACGTGTAATGCTATAAATTCGGAACATCAAGTAGTCGATTGGTTGTGGTGATAAACAACGAACATGAGGTATAATCAGGTCCTCCTTCAAAGAACTATCAGGCGACGGTGCTTGTAGAAACGATTGTTTACGACAAACCTTAATGTACATCAGATTATCAACGCTGACGCCTCGAAGTTCTGGAAACTGATGTCGACATTTCTCCAAGAACGTGCTGATAGCATCTCCTTTTTTACACTGTCGTGATACATTGT